TTTTAACATTTACATATACTAACATTCCAAATCATCTCTGTATCATTTACATTCTCTCATTTTTTGTGGATTGTATTGTACTTTGTTTTGGTTGTTTTTTAAACTACTTGTTATTTTCTACCTCATTCTTTGGTCACATCTTAGACCTGGTAATTTCTTTCTAGCACTGCATCTAGTACTAATACTGCATCTTTTAGACTCTTTTACTGTGTCAGAGTATAATTTTCTTTAACTTCTTATATTCCACTTTTCCTCATTATGTTTCCAAACCTTTTGATATATTCATTCTTCAGAACCTTATCAAGTTCTTTGCTTCCTTTCTTCCTAAACACTTTCAGCTTCTCTATGTTTCTAGATTTCACTGTCTGCTACTTTTTGTTCTGCTTTTCGTATTTGGTCACATTTCATTTTTTTTTTTATTCTTCATCCAAATCTTCATCAGCTTTTGTTGTTTCCTAGTATATGCTATTACTATTTCTGCATTAGAGCCAACTGAATATCTCTATCCAAACCTCACTATATGATTAGGCTCCTTATAAATTAATGTTTTCTTCCTAATCATCTTTATTTTACGCCAAGCAATTTTACTTTTATTCATTATGTCAATTCCTCCCTCCCCCATGTCTATTTACTACATTAATTTTGCCAATCAGTTCCTTTGTGCCTGTTGTAAATTGCTGTGAACTCTCAGACAGCTTTGACTATTCAGACATTGCAGACATGAAGTAAGTAAAATAAATATTAAATATTTTGCTAATTCTTTCCTTAATCTCTTCCAATAGTTTTGCCCATATTTGTTAATATAGTTTTTTTTATTCATTACTCGTTATTGCCTTTCTCTTTCACTTTACCAGAATAACTGGTTCTCTATTTCTCCTCATTTTATCCAATTTATGCCTCTAATGTTGCTCCTTTTCTTTTTTCAATGCTGTTTTTCCATATTAAAAAGAATCTTTTGAGCTCCAAATTTCTTCCTCAAACCAGATTACACATTTCTCTTCTTTCTTTTCCATTTCCAACCTATGTGAACAGATTGTATATTCTCAGTGCCTCAATTTTCAGTGCAGCTTTCAACTCCTAATCGTCTGAGAATGCTCTGTTTAAAAACTTAAATTATATTCTGTCAGAAACTGTTCTTTTCTATTTTATGCTTGTCCCTCTTTCATCTGCTTTCAATGTAGTTGACCTTTCTTTAGAATTTTGATTCTTTAGAATTTCTTTTCTTTTCCATCTATGACTCTTTTTCTTCTTGATTATTTTCTTGCATTCTCCCAGGAGTTCAGTTCATCACCACCACCACCACCAGGATTTCCTAGATATCAAGTCTAGTACTTTAATCACTGTGCTGCACTGGCATGCAATACTACTATATTACATTGGATACACTGACAGTATTCAGTATTATCTTTTCCTTCTCTTCTTCCCCCCTTTGTGCACTTACAGATATTTCCAAATTTAATATGCAGAAGATAGTATTTAGTATACTAAACCTTTACTTTTCTCACCTATTTCTCAAGCAGCATAAACCTTTAGCTTTCGTGAATCTGTGCCTTAACTTTTATCCTTCACTTGCATTGTTTCTGCATTTCTCCTCTAAGTTTTCTGTCTATTTCATACTTACATTTGCAAAATCCTTCCATTTTAAGCTACTTATCCTGGTAAAGCTTTTGTTCAGACTCTTTTTCTTTGTTATTTATTTATTTTATTTATTTAGAAAATTTCTATGCTGCCCCATTCGCCGAAGCCTCGGGGCGGCTCACAAAACATCAATTAAAATATAATACACTAATATAATACACAGTTATGTTGACTTCTGTGTTTTGTTTATTGGTTTTCCTGTTTCTCAGCTTAATCTATTATCTCTGTTGTCAGCTTTTCTAGTTGTTTAATCTTTTTTTTTTGTCATGCCATATCTTTGTAGGCTTCCTCTGTTGTATCATATAAAGTTTCCCAAGTTGAATTTCTTTATGATCTTGCCTTTTCTTACTTGTTTTTGTTGCCTTTCCTGTCTTTTCCTTCTTTGTCTCCCCATTCACTGGGTACTAATATTCTTGCTGAAATTTCATTCCTATGTGCTTTCTCATGTCTATGATTTCTCTGTTGTGTCTTCTGTGTGCAGAACCCTCTTCCTTTAAATATTCAGCTGATTTCACATTTTTCTCGCATTAGGAAAGTATTTAAAATCTTCTTTTCCCTCTTACATCTCTCTTTGTTGTGTAGTTAGGCTTAAAAAATACTATTCGTAGGCTGATTATTAGATTTTCATTTTTCCTGTTTTGTGAAAATTTTCCCCTTTTGATTCCAGCTTCTCTTTCCTTTGTCTTATAAATTTTAGATTGGGAGCCTGTAAATTAGGAATTTATTTATTTTTTAAAAAATCTTCATAGTGCCTATTACTTATTAGGCATTATATAAATAATAAATTATGGAGATTCTGCCACTTACAGTTTCTGTAGGATTGTGACTTACATCCCTGAGGACACTTTCAGGAACAAGAGGCCAGGAGGCTGGATTTCATTATTAATTTCAACTAATCAGCATGTAGTTGCAATCCTTCCTCACTGTGCAGAAGAACTCAGCATATCAGAGACAAGACAAAACAGTTAAATGTTCTGCGTTCAGTGATTTTAGTGTTTAGACTAATGATGCTAGCAGTGTACATTGATATTAGTAGTTACATAAGCACCCAAAAAGCTTGTTTCATATCCTTGACTGCTGCAGTCTGCTTTTGCATCCACTGTGTGCTTTGATTTTTTTTAATTCTGTTGACCTTTTGCTATCAAACTGAAGGATCAGCTTTTCTGTTAAAATCTCCCACCCACAAAATGGGATATCATTCTTTACCACAGAATTGGTGCAAGAGACCAATTCCATAACAAAATACATTCCTCATGGCCTCACCCACTTAGTTGCCAACTTTTCCACAACAGTGTAGGTGGATCACAAAAGAAAGAAACATCCATGACACAACAGTACCATATAAAAAGGACCTTTTCTTTCCCTGAATCTCTACTTCAGTCATAATTGTCGACTTACTTGATGATGTTAATTAGTCATGGATGGGTGGGTTATAAAATTTAAAAAGAAATAAGAAACAAGTCTGAAATGTAACAAAAGGTTATTGTGTATCCTCTCACCTACAAGAAGTGCTAATGTTTAGGGGCTGAACTAGACACCAATGTCCAGTAGGACAAGCCTCTCCGCTCCCCTGTTTGTCTTTCCCAGTGGCCTTTCTGTATTCTGTGGCTAGTGAGCATGCTCAATATTCATTGACAGTTGCTTTTTCCCCTTTAAAAAAGATTTTGGGGCTTATGCAAATCTGGAAGATATTCCGGACATGCTGCTATCTTCCCCTTCTCGTTAGTGATCTTATTTTGATTACAGTCCTGTCAGCACCAACTTGTTGAATTTGCTATTAGAAAGCTTGATCAATAGGACATAATTAGAAGTACTCTTCAAAAATCAACAGTGGGGCCTTCTCAGTGTATATAATTGGGGTACTAACTAGTATCTATTCAGCATAGATACTTTCTATGTGAAGCATATTCCAAAAATATATCAGAATGTTCTATGTGAATAAGACTAAGTCCTAAGTTCTGTAGAAATAAGTGAGCATTATAAGACTATTTTAGACTTTGGTAGATGTGCTTTAGAAGGCAACTTTCTTGAAAGCCTGTGGGATAAATGTATAGACTATGCATTTATTTTTTTACATTCAGTATAAGTAATTAGTATGCAGAATATAGCATACCAATCTATTTTTCAAAGAGTCTGAGAGAGCCATATTGCTAAAAGAAAAGGCCACAGATTTTTTACTGTGAAATAAGCATGAATTTCAAAACTCCATGAGGGTCTGGGTGAGTAAGTGCATGTGGGAACAGCAATGTCTCACTAAAGAGATTCTAGTATCTTCAGTTTTGGAATTTTATAATGTATGTTGTTTTTAAAAATGAACAGCAGTTGTACAACGTACACTTTTTTCTCCTACGCTGCTTGCCTCTCTATTATTAAATTTCTTCAATATTGATAATATTAATTATTAGCAAAATAATAAGCAAAAGTCTAGAACACATTCTGTTGCCAGTGAAAGCAGTAGCCTTGTGCTACCCTACATTTGCCCTGTTCATGTCTAGTAAAGTAATGCACGCCATGTGATAGCATCAGTAAGTCCAAGTTTCCTTCTCTCCATTTTTTTTTTTTTTTTTTTGGTTCCATTTGAAAGGACAAACAAACTCAGAGCATAGTGTCACTCAATTTTAAGAGATGGAAACACAGAATTTCTGTTTTTGGTGGTAGCCTCACATTTCCCATAACTCCTATTCTAGCCTCAGATTGACAACATGTAGACAATAAATACTTTGAACCATCCTTTGATATGGATCTTACAGAAAATTATATGACCTAGAGTCAACAGTACCTGTGATTATGATTGTAGGTATTTAATTTAAACAGAAATAGGTTTTTATTCTCTTGTAATATATAGTATATGTATTTCTTCGTGCATATTCATCTGTAAATATATAGGAGTCACCATAATCAAGGGAATTTGTCTGCCCTAACCTCCTTCTCTTGGTTTTGTCAGACTTTGTAGTTCAATTGGATCAAATTTCTGCATTCACAGTAGATTTTTCTCTAATGGTTCAGAGAGAAAAATAGAACTCTTAAATCATAAAGACATCCTGTCTCATTCTGAAAGGAGATCCTTGTGTTTAATTAACTTCATAAATTAGCTCTAGCTATAGCACTACCACTTTACCACCAAATTGAGGTAATATAATCTCTCTGATTCTTTCTGCTGCTGTAATGGATCCGAACCATCAATTAATGTGCCCTTGAGTCTTTCCATTTGGCAGCATTATGGTCGTGAGGAAACTGATGTGCAGACAAAGTTGACAAAGGAGTGCTAAGCTGTGAAATTATCAATAGCCTAAGAATTATACTAGGTTGATTTATTTTTTCTGGTTATGCTGCATTTTTTTCACTTATGTTCTCATATTTAGAGTTCCCCCTGCTCCAGCTGAGACTTCGGAAGATGCACCTACATCAAATCAACCATCTGTGGAAGATGGCAGCGTTGACAAGTGGTGTTGATCTCAACTACTTTTGAAGTGGACTGGCTGGGAATTGTACTATGTCCATGAGAATACTATATGTCACACCCAGAGAATCTGCAAAACATGCACAAAATAGTACATTTTCCTAGTGAATCTTTCTGGGTGGTGTGTGTGGGGGTCATTTTAGAGAGTCACTTTAAGGGGTGTGTGTGAGTGTGAATGTGCATATTAGTTCATAGCAAGGCAATACATTTATTTGGCCAGTCAATAAAGTTGTTGTGAGGTGTGTGTGTGCTTCTGTCTACCTCTAGTACAAGAGGCAGTATGCTTATGTAAACTAGGGAACATGAGTGGAAGAGTTTTTTGTACACATGTCTTACTTACGAGTTTCCCATGGGCAGCTGGCTACTTTGTGAACAGAATGCTGGATTAGGTAGGTCCTTGGTCTGACCCAGCATAGCTCCTTATGTTCTAAGAGATATATTCTGTTCCCCACCTTCATCTCAAAAGTACTAGAGTCTGGATTTTTAGGTATAAATCTCTGCTTTGTATCCTGTGCTTTGATTACATGAACATTTGCTTGCAGAAGGGAGGTCAAAAAGCCAAGACGGTTTCCTTTACTGTTTCTATTTGCTTCATAGCCACTTTATATATATCTTTGTAGAATTTGAGTGGCTGAGTTGAGTTGAGTGGCTGTTAACAGAGGAACCTATATATAGTTTTCAAGGATTTTCTTACTGATTTTGCTCAGAACATACTTATAGCAAAGTATATTTTCTTTCCTTCCCAAGCATTTCACATAGTAATTCAGTGACAAGGGTCAAGAAAATGGAAAAGGAGATAGAAACGTTTATCAGTAGCATAATGAGCACTCAGGAACGTCAGCTCTGGGCTGAAGTGTAGATATGGTATAGATGTTAAATGGCATAGTGCCACCAAAAATAAGGAAGAAGAAGGGACATTTCAACTTTAAAAACTCCTAATGTGCAGCTCTAGTCTTTGCTCTCTCTTCCAAAATGCAGTCCAGTTTGTACATACTCAGATCCACTGAAAACAGTGGAACAAGCAGTGTGCAGGTAGGATTGCACCAGCCAGGGCTGTGGATTTGTTAAATAACAACTTTGACCCTAACTCCTTTATTTGGATATCAGTATAGGAAATAAATATGCTAATAGTTTATTTCCTATATTGATAGAAAGTAATTAAGTTAAAAAAACACTGCAAGTGTCTTTTTAAAAGTGATGCTCTTGTAGGTGCATTTTTATCAGAACCATAATCTTCATTTTGTATAATACATGGACAATCATAATATTTCACATCTGTTGTAAAGTGTTCAAAGACAGCTAACTTTGTTGAGACTTTTTTGCCCATGGGGCTTCACTTTCACTAATATATGAAATTAAAATATATCCTGAAAATGTAACGTGAAAAGTAGGTTAATTACATTTTTATTTGTGAAATAGGAAATTTTAGCCTATATTTATATTACAATTTAAATTTGAGTCAGTACATTTTTACTGGCTTCAACTCCAGTAACCCAAGAGTTGCTTCCAGGTCCAACTCCACAACTACAGCTCTGGCACCAACACTAGTGAATCTCTCTGCAAAAGATCAAAGTTTATCAGAGGTGAAGAGGTACCAAAGTTGATCTCAAAAGCTGTTAGTTCTTATTTGCTTGTTTAATATATTTATATATCAAATAAAGGAATTTACTGAAGCAGCATACAGTACAAAAACACAAAGAATAATGTTAAATGGAAAATATCAGTACATGTTCTCATATCAAAAAGAATTACCACCACCACACATTGATAAAAAAATAAGATGAAAATACTTTTTTGGGGGTGCGGGCAAGCACCAGCATTCAGTCTCATTCTATCAGCCCTCCTCTGGCCTATTACTATTCAGTCCGTTATCCCGGCATGAAGGGCTTACTTCAGATGTCAAAGAAATACAGTTGGGTGTCATCAACATATGATGATACCACACTCCATAACCCCTAATGACCATTTCTAACAGCTCATGTTCAAGTCAATTCGGGATACCATGGTAACCAAATCCAGTGAAAGATTGAGCAAGGGTTACATAGTCTCATTCTTCATTTCCCATTAAAGTTCATCTGGTAGGGTGACCAAGGCTTGTTTCAACCCGAAGCCAGGCCCAAACCTAGACTGAACTGGGTCTAGATAATCGGTCTCATCCATCCAAGAATGTTTGTACTTACAAGAGTTAAGATCAGAATGACTACAATTACCAGGCCACTTAAGAATAAGTAGTTTGATTTATCTGGGATGTTTGTGGAAGGAACACTTTATAACAAAGGCATGTATGGAATGTAAAATTATTTGTGGGATTTGTTTGTTTCCTAGTTTAATAGTAAATCCATACAAATACTTTCTTATTACACTGATAGCAATGTTAAATTAATAACAGAAGTTACAAATGGCTGAAGGCTTTATTTGAGAAGTAAAAAAGAAGCAAAGCCTTAAAATGCTAGGGAAAAAATAGATTGGGTTGGATGAAGATTTAGCAAAATTAAGCAGTAGATCTTCTGCAACTTAGGCACCAGTCAGTCTCATTGATTTCATTGGGTCTCCTTTTAGTATGACTGAGCCCAGAAACTATTTTAGAGAATGGTAAAATAACCTTATAAAATAGTGAAATGGTAGATATATTTCAATCACGAGCTTCTTCGAAGACAGTGACATAACAATATTTATATCAATAAATAGCCACAATACAGATTATTATATACATAGTCACTAGATAAATCAACAGTGTCTTCTAACATATTTGTTGTGGGATAATCTTTTGTGGACTGCAGTTCATAAGATGTAGAAAGTGTTTTCCAGTGAATTCCAGGGAATGATATGCATGTACACAGAAACAGAGAGCTGACTGGGGAAGGAAGGGAATATAAGTAGGGAGATCAGTGGGAAATGAACACAGTAAGTTCAAAGAGTGTTAATTATCTGATAAGGTGTGTTGTATTGGCTTTCCTACTTTCTGGCACTGAAGTAGTTTATGCAATGGAATTGTAAATAGATACTCTGAATTTTAACAGCCATCTGAGAAGGGAGGGAAAGAGGAGGGGAGAAAAACAGTATAATCTGAATGTCTTCCATTTTGAGTCCTGGGCAGTAACTGGAAAACCATTTTGGAAAGCAAGGGAGACAGCATAGAAGACGTGATGGATGAACAGGGGATTGTTCATTACAGATGTATTAGCTGCTAATTAGGGCTTTTCTTGCATAGAAAAGACTGCATAACCCATTCCCTGGGAATACAGTGGCACTGAAAGCAATTTGAAACTCCTACATATTTGTAGAGTTGAAAGATGGAGATCCAGAAGTACTTCATGAGAGTTTGCTGGGTGGTCCCTTGGGTTTTCCTTATTGGACAGTATTTCTGCCTAACCTTTGTTTTAGACTCTTAAGAATAACAGAAGATTACATTTCAAAGCGTTTCTTTGCTTATCATGCAACAGTAACAACAGAAGAGTTAATAGCTCTCCTGGTGCTAAGTACAAAAGTCATATCCTGATGTTTTACTACCACCCAAAAGAAAAAGTAATATGTAAAGGGGATATGTAGCTTTCAGTGGATTATATACAGTTTTGAGTGAACAATGCCATGAAAACATGACAAATTTCAGCAGTTTTTGTATGAAGTTACTTAAAACTCTTCTCTATGAAAAATAGTTTTTAATGGTCTATAAAACAGATTGGCCTATTTAGAGATTTGTCAGGAATGCAAATCATCCAAAGATTCTCTTCCCATGCCCCCTTTTTTCTTCTCTCTGGAGAGTAGTAGTCTCTTTAGCTCTTTAGATATGTTTTCAGAATTCAAGTGAAAATGAGTGCAAGATAACAAACTGGGGTTTTTTTAACGGTGATTTTTATTTTCAACAGTTTGACAGTTTGCAAGAGAGATAAAATGGTAAAGGACAATTGAAGGAGTGACTCTTCATCTTGATTCTGTGATTGTTACCTTATGTAGGCATGAAAGAACCATCTCTTTTCCTGAAAAGAGAAGCGGGGGGGGGGGGGAGTGGAGAAAAATGAGAGATTATAAACAATTTCTAAACAATTTACCTTTGGATTTTTCAGTCAGAGTTTTACAAGAATTGATAACTTAAGAATAGGCATAGCTGAATTACACTGATGTTTGTGCCTTCTTTATTATTATCACATGTCTGTTACAAACTTATAGAAGAAGGAATCTGTTTCTAATAATAACCTATACATATTTTTATTTTTTATCAATGCTGCAATCCATTTAATTTTTATTTCTTATACTATTATTTCAAAATATATTTTCCTATATTACTTTAATTTTATGATATTTAATTCTTAATAGATGTTGAGAAGTATATTTTGAGTGGCAATGTATCACCAGGAAAACCAAAGGTCTATACAGTCTCAGCTGGATAGCTTCCTTAACTCAAGTTCCTAAGGCTGGATATAATAAGTCTGTTCTTACCTTTAACCTTTCCTCTGGAGGAAGAGCAGACATTGCATTCTTTAGATTACTAGAACACCTTATGTTTAGAAAGGGAATGTCTTACTAACAATAAAAACAGTTATATTGCAATATAGCAACTCATTTATATGTGGAAAAACGTTATGAGTTTGGCTATCTTTTATGATGTTTTTATTGTTTCTATTTTATATTATATTTTACATGCTGTTGTAGTTCACCCAGAAAGCTGCAGCTAGTGGGCAGTATAGAAATAAAATAAAGAATAAAATAAAGCACACAAACAAACAAAAATTTTGCACTGGTAGCTAATGCCCTCTAATAAGATTACATGGAGACAGGGAAGTAATACATTGAAATTAATCTATCAATGTTACCTTTGCCAAATTTTATGAGGACTAATACACCTCTGAGCAACCAAAGAAACAAAAATTGGCAGATACATAGCTAAAAGTAATGTCAAGCCTGTATCTGAGTAACACAAAACAGACCTAAATAGAACCAGTTCTCTGGAGGAAATGTATCAAACCATTTCGGAGCTCAAACAAAATAAATCTCCTGGCCCTCAAAGTTTCACAACATTTTTTAATTAAAAATTACTTTCTGGTTCCTCAAATGGCAGGACTTTTTAATGGAATGTTAGTGGGAGATCAAACCCCAACACATGAAAGGAATCCCACATTTTAATAATTGTAATGGGCCCAAGGACCTTAGTCTGCCTCAACCATAGAAGCCAATTGCACTATTAAATAAGATATAAAAAGCTGTAGAGTCACACAAGCAAATAAGCTTAATACTTTTATGACTACCTTCACACAGAGAGACCCGCACGTGCACACACATATCCAGACTATGCTGGCTTGATGCCAAAAAAGGCAAGTATGACTCCAGCATGGAGATGTAATAATAAGGCTATACATGCAAGTATAATCTCTAAAACACCATTGGCCATTGTAACATTGGCAGATAGGAGTGGCATTTCTGAGTAGAATTGCTTCACAGAATGCAAACAGGGCAAGGCTTTATTAATACAGTTTAAGGCTCCATATCTCTCTTTACATAGATGTATGAAACAAGAATGTGCTTTGAGCTTCTAGCAATTATTTTTATTGTCAATCCATACAACATAGGTCTGAAGAATGGAAATATATACCACCACCTCAACCTTTGTGGATGATGTAGCCATGGTCCTCACTGATCCAGTATTGTCATTCCAGATATTCCAGGCAGCATTTACATCTATTGCAGAGTGTTGGGGTTAAGATAAATTATTCTGAATTAAAAATGGTTTTCATGAACAAATACTTTTCCTGTTTACCACCCAGAAAACTTCAACTATTAAGCAGTATAGAAATTAAACAATGCACTTGTCCATAGACATTCAACAACAAATTAAAACTTTCACATTTTTCACTTTGCAAATCTTTGCAGTATTTAGGAATCCGAATAAACTTTTTTTCCTAATTAAAAGGGCCCAGCCATGGCCCAGCATTAACACACATGAAATGAATTATGAAAAGATGGAAGAATATTAGCATCTCCAGGCTATGCCACATAGTGACAGTGGAAATGCATCTGATAGTAAAATTCTCTTATCCATTCCTGGCTTTGCCTATAGACATGAAATATAAGGAGTTAGGTAGGTGAGAAAAATTATTAGAGGCATTTACACACAAGGAAAATACAGAGTCCTGTTAAAAGAGGTCTTGCATAGACAGACTTCACAAGGTGGGATTTCCTATGTACACAGTGGTTATCATGCCTTGCAACTAAAGCAAGTGATTTTGATTATACAGAGTGTCCAAAGCAAACTCTGGGTAAAAATGGAGTTAAACACCCCAATGCAGTATCATGGCATAGTCTTGAATTCCTTCCATCAAAAATATATCAGGTCATAAAATCAGTGTCAGATCTATTCAGTAATTGGTCACTAGTGGTAAGGGAAATATGGGCTATAAAATTGATAGCCGCTATGTCTTTCTTCCTCCTCTGACCATTTGCTGCTTCCATCTTGAAGGCAAATGTCACTGCTTTAGCCTGTGGGAAGAAAAGGGACTATATTGAATGTACAACCTTTATGTTCATAGTAACCCTTTGTCTTTCATCCAAATCCAAGAACAACCACAGGAAATGGTTGCACTTTGACTAGATTAGTCATTTTGCAGATGATAGTAAAGAGCAAACAAGTGGCCCATTATCTCCTTTTGAGTAAATATTCAACAGAGAAACATCAAATATGCCAGAAATTGTGGCTGCTGTATTTGGGAATGTGTCAGATCATGCTTCCAGTAAACTAGAGTGATTAAAAGCAACATGGGAAAAAAAGCTTGCAGAAAAAGGTTAGCTTTTCTTTGGCTTAGGGCAAAAACCAATCTTTCATTCTTACATGCACATTGGTAGAAACACAGAAACAGAGTGAGTCAGAAGGGTCCTCCCAGGCCATCTAGTCTGACCCCTGGCTCCAGCCTGCTCCACTCACGACATGCCCACCATGTGCATATCTAGCCTATTCTTGGACCCCCTCACTGATGGGGTCTCAACCCACCTCCCGTGGAAGCCTATTCCACACCCTCGGGGTCCTAACTGTCAGGAAGTGCTTCCTGGCATCCAAATGGAACCATTGGAGCGTGTCCTGCCATCCTCTGCAGGGGAGAACAGGTCTCTACCCACCGCTGTGTGACATCCCCTCACATACCTGTATGTCAGCAAGAGGCATTGGTAAATTAAACATAGATGATACCTCCTAAAATGTTCTATGTAACAAATTTTTTCTCCCTGCTATATTGGATATGGGCAAAAAAAATCCCCCTCCCCCCAACTGGGGTAGACATATCCAGTGGCTATTGAAGATCACGCTAAGAACTTTAAGGAATTACCAAATATGGAATCCCAACATGTGACTCTTAGTTTCCTAAATATCTTTGATAACAATAATTGGGTGCTAAAGTATAAATACTTTTTTCTACTGGTGGCAGTGAACTTAGTTCTAGGAAGATTATAGAAGACCAATACTTTTATACTACTGAAAGTTTACTTCCAAGAGTTTTGACATATAGTAATAGCAGAAGGTGTAGAGAAAAAACAGATGAAATTAAAGACCTTTTATACGCCAGAGCAACCATTTATTTATTTTGCGAACAAGATAACAAGATAGCAATCGTCATCTGCCACCACCTTTTGCAGCTCTTAATTTACATGGTGTGAAGTCCTCTGTGGAAATGGCTATGATAATTTGTTTATAAAGATGTTATGTTGTTATTTGTGTTTGTTATAATAAGTAAGAGAAATTTATTTTGTAAAACAGATTGTGAGCTTTAAAAAATTTGATTGTCAATATTCTGCATATTTTTAAATAAAGCTTTAAAAAATAACCTGCTAACACAGACATCCTTGCCCAATAGTGGTAAATGTCCATGAGTTATAAGGTAATGATCCCTAAGTTCACTCGCTGAATTTCTTTTTTAAAAAATCCTTTCTTTTCAACCAAGTAATACAAGATGCACAAAGAAAACACAGTGGAATAATGTAGATGATCTTAGCCTAAGCTGATAGAAGGTGCTCCTGGCCATGGAGGTCACCTGTGAGACAAGCGACAACTCTGGTTCAAGGAGTACCCCCAAGCTATGAACCTTGTGCTTAAGGGTGAGCACAACCTCATCCAGGACAGGTTGAAAATTTCCCAGTTGGACAGATAAATGGACTCTCCACCAGCAGCACCTCCAACTTGTCTGGGTTGTACTTCAGCTTATTGGCCCTCATCCAGAGCCAAGGTACCAGTTTAGAACAATAATTGTCAAACCTAGATTAAATCTCTGGTTTTGACCTCTCCCAGCAGTTTCATGTAGATGTTAAAGAGCATGGGGGATAAAATGGAGCCCTGTGGAACTTGAAGGCATAAGTGCCATGGCACAGACGAGCTCTTCCTCAGCTTCACCAAGTGGTGACAGTTGGCTAGGTAGGAGCAGAGCCACCACAAAGTGGTGTCACCAACTTCCAACCTTCCCAACCTGTCCAGAAGGATACCATGGTGGATGGTATCAAAAGCCGCTAAGAGGTCCAGAAGATTCAACAGGGTTGCGCTTCTTCTGTCTCCTGGCAAAAGTCATCCCACAGGGTGACCAAGGCAGTTTCTGTTTCAAAACCAGGCCTAAAGCCCAATTGAGTTGGATCTAGATAATCCATTTGCTCCAAGTGTGCTTGGGCTGCCTGACCACAACTTGCTCAATCACCATGCCTAGGAAGGGAATGTTGGCTATAGGTCAATAATTATTTACATCCTCTGGATCCAGCTGTAGCTTATTAAGAAGTGGGGTAACCACTTCTGTCTTTAGAGGGGCAGACAGCACTCTCTGAGGGAGGCATTTACCACTTCCAGGATCTAGGGATGGATCCCCTCCTTTGATCTCTCAATCAGATGGGCAAGGGTTGAGTGAAAAGGTTGTGGGGCAGACTTGACCAGGGACCTTGTCTACATCCTCAGGCTGCAATAGCTGAAATGCATCCAGTAAGATGGGACCAGGCAGTGCACTGGACACCTCTGCTGATGGAAATGGGATAACCTTGGTGTCCAACTTGCAATTAATCCAAGCAAGTTTATCCTCAAAGTGTCATGTGCATTTGTCACAATGGGTCAGCAAGAGGTCAATGCTGTCTTGGCTCAGGCCAGAATGCCCCAAACCACATGGAAGAGCTCCACTGGATGACATTTCAAGGATGCAATGGAGGTGGCAAAGGACGATCTCTTTGCCACCTCACTGCTGCAGAATAGCAATGGGTGCTAAGCTGCCTTCGGTTGGGTTCATTCTGAGTTTTGCTCCATCTGAGCTCTAGCCATCTGCCTTCTTGCTCCATCGCCCACCACTCTGGTGTATACCAAGGAGCTGGATAGGCTCAGTGAGGGAGAAGAGAGTTCATGGGAATTACTGTGTTAACCACCTCAATCATCTCCATATGCCACAGGGTGACCTGGGGTTCAACAGGAACACCAACAATGCCAGCCACAAAGTCTCCCAGAACCTTGCAAAAACCGTCTGGATCCATTAGACTCCAGGGATGGACCAACTTAATGGATTCTTTACCATTGCAGATGAGAAAAGAGCCCAAAAGTCTGAA